TTTTTCCTGAGATCCTGAGATGGAGCCTCACTCTGTCACCCATTCTGGAGTGCAGTGGCATGATCTTGGCTCACTGCAATCTCCACCTCCTGGATTCAAGTGGTTCTCCTACCTCAGCCTCCCAAGTAGCTGGGATTCTGCAGCCTGGGCGACAGAATGAGACTGTCTCAAAAAAACAAAAAAGGGTGATTTTATCTGATAGAGAAGCTTGAGATTTTTATGATTAGAACGGTTAAAAATAAAAGTGAGAAAGCAAGACAACTAACCTTTAAAAAAAGAAAACATTTTTTTTTAAAAAACCTTTAAAAAAAGGGATACTATTGTATCCCTCCTTAGCTTTGAGCTGAATATTAAGTCATGCATATGTAAATTGAACTAAAATTTGTCCTTTAACTACATGGGAAATATAAGCGGATAGGGACTAGACCTTGGAATTGATGATAATGGAAGATAAATAATGTCTTAAAGAGATAGTAAGGATAAAAGTTTTATTTGGAAAAAAGATGCTTTTTAAAAAATATACATGTGCCTGGCTGGGCATAGTGGCTCACATCTATAATCCTAGCACTTTGGAAGGCCGAAGCAGACAGACAGCTTGAGCCCAGGAGTTTGAGATCAGCCTGGGCAACATAGCAAGACCCCGTCTCTACAAAAAAATACAAAAATGACCTGGGTGTGGCAATGCGTACCTGTAGTGCCAGCTACTTGGGAGGCTGAAGCAAGCGGATCACTTGAGCCCAGGAGTTTGGTTACTGCAGTGAGCTGTGATCGTACCACTGCACTCCAGCCTGGGCGATGGGAGTAAGACCGTGTCTCTAAATTAATAAATATGTATGTGTGTATATATATATATATGCATACATATTTTATCTGATGGTATTGAAATGTGTGTGTGTGTGTGTGTGTGTGTGTATACATACACATTTTATCTGATGGTATTGAAATATAGGCAAATACATATGTATTTCTTTTTCTTTGAGAGAGTAAAGGGATTGGTGCTTGCAGTTCTACTGAATATGGGGTTTTCTCCCCGATGTATTTGCCTATATTTCAGTACCATCAGATAAAATTTCTTTTTCTTCTTTGACAGAGTAAAGGGATTGGTGTTTGCAGTTCTACTGAATATGGGTTTTTCTCCCCGATGTAGCCCAAAGAGATTACTTGGAGCCCCTCCCGAGTGTTTCCGCCTGTTCGAGCCTGCATGTTCTCGTCTCACCTTACCTCAGTCACCTTCCTGGCTGACCCTAGTGCTGGGGGAGGCCTGCCCCGGGGCACTTTTATCTATGCCACATCACCACTGCCAGTTCAGGTGAGACATCACATGACATACTGTGTTTTGTGTCTTTTCTTCAGATTTGAAAGAAAAAGCAGGTTTCAGGCCCAGGCTTAGCCCTCTGATTGCTGCTGTCTTCTGGTGTCTCCTCAGGCCCCATCTTTTTACTGGGAAATTGAAATTGTTTCCTATGGAGATACTGATGATGACACCGGGCCCATAGTTTCCTTTGGCTTCACTACAGAAGCGGAGAAGCGAGATGGGGCTTGGACTAATCCAGTGGGGACTTGCCTTTTTCATAAGTAAGTAAAAGAAGTAGCTCAGTATGGCAGAGAACAGTAGCTTCCTACAAGGTGTGTATAGGTGTTTAGGAAGTCAAAAGAGAGCTCTGTCTTCAATGAGTTTGGGGAAAGGAGAGCATTATTTTTCCTTTCTGGGGATTTCCAGTGTACATTAATAAGATTCCTTTCTAATTGTCCTGTAATTTTTAAAAAAACTTGTTTATTTCCCAAATTCTAGGAATACAGCTTGGGAAATACTGGTGCAGGTATTTTAATACTGAAGTGATATTATAATAATCTCACAATGCTGACCCCCCCCCAACTTCACCACTTCCCTGCTTGTGTGTTGGCCAGTGAGGCTTCTCTTTCCTGTCTTTGACCTCCCTTCTTTGTATTTTTCATAGCAACGGTCGAGCCGTGCACTACAATGGCTCCAGTTTGTTACAGTGGAAGAGCGTTCGCTTAGACGTGACTCTCTCCCCTGGTGAGTGCGGTGGGAGTTTTTTCACCCTGTGTGATTCTGCTGGCGTCAGGTTTGGGTCTAAATAGGTTAAAGTTAAATAAATTTAGCAACTGGAAATGGGCAATTTGTCATCATTTAGTGAAAAACAAACTTGCTGCCCCCTAGTTTACAGCAAATCCCTGGCTTTATGAGCCCTCACCATTAGAGCCTCCATTTGGTAACGCCAGAGTTATGTGTACTTTTGTTCTTTCATTATTAGATAATTCAGAGATTTTGCTTCTCTCTGAAGTTTAGTCTTCACTTATTCATTAATGAGCAGATAAATAGCTTCAAAAAAATGGAACTCCACCACTAGCCATGAGTCACTCGAAAAATGCCTTATTGGGTTAGGGGCAGTGGCTCATCCCTATAATTCCAGCATTTTGGGAGTAGACTGTGGGCACACAGACTACCTTCTTCCTAGAGAAATATGTCTGCAAAGGAATAGGAATTAGAATCCAATCTTTCTAACAGAATCTCACCCCTGTACCAATACCTGGTATTGGTACATTCATCAACAGATACTTGCTGAGCATCTCCTACCTGCTAGGCCCTCTCCTGGGCCCTGGGGATGCTGTGGTGAACAATGACAAGTCTCCAGCCAGTGGGAAGCTCCCATTTCTGTGGTACCTAAGCGATAGGAAACTCTGTGATTAAAACAGACCTTAGAACTTCATGCACTTACTGGAGAGTTTACAACAGATAAAGTATAGGCCACATGTGCTAGCAGCTTGCCTGAGGCAGCCGATATAAAGTGCTGATGCAACACACAGGCTCCTCTTGGTTCTGTAAGGCCTACCCGGTGTCCAGTCATCTTATTAGATGGCAGCCTGGATTATGTTATTTACCTTAACATTTTGCAAAATGCCTTAAATACTTACAAATAGGGAACATAATGGAATTTAATGGTCTATCTTTAGCTTACATTGTGGATGGAGTTTAAAATATATATGTATTTTTCTTTTTTTTTTTTGAGTCTGGGTCTCACTCTGTTACCTAGGCTAGAGTGTAGTGATGCAATCACAGCTCACTGCAGCCTCAACCTGCTGGGCTCAAGTGATCCTCCCACCTCAGCCTTCCTGAGTAACTGGGACTACAGGCACACACCACCATGC